GAGTATATATGTTTGTATACAAACACCGAATACGGACTACAAACATTTGGACATTGTCAACAATCAAAATAATGAGAATAATAACAAGAACGAATAGACAAGGAGAACGTGGCAAGTGGCAAAATGAGTTTGACTTCAAAAACTTTAAGGAAAGTCAAGGAAGCGCGTTACACACGGGCGGTTAGTGATGGTGACGAAAAAGACGTGCCAGCAATGGCAATCCTCTCAACGGTTAGTTGGAAATAGTTTAAAAGAAAGGAACGAAGAAGAAGACCAAGATGAAGAAGTTGGAAACTGAATTCCCCTACCACCGTGACCAGTTAATTTAATTCAATTTCCGCTCTTTAAATGTCACACAGCAGTAAAGTTTATTCACCAGCCTGAAATCTCACTACTAAAGTGAAATGTTTTGTGCGAGTATTAAAGCCTAAGGAATTGAAATGTCTTACTGGCATAGCTAACTAAAGGATGAAAGTTGAAAAAACTTTTCTTGGTCTTTCACTGGTCATACACAATATTATTTTCTTGAAACCTCTATTATTTTGCCTTTTGTGCTTAACGAATACATGCAAACATACAATACTTGCTTACATGAATGTATGTATCACACTGTTGTAATCAGCATAAAGAAAAAGTCCTGTTACGGACTGAGCAAACAAGTTTTTGAAGTGTAGTCTGGTAGGTAATGTCATGAGATTAGTAATTAAAAACAATAACGTTAAGGCAAAAATAAGCTTAAAGTAGGAAAAAAATTTTCTGGTAAAGAAAAAAAATCTTGCAAGAAGTATTTAATAGAAACACAACAAAAAGTATTGTACCAAGGTAAAATTTGCTAAAACTTTTAATCCTTAGGAATTTTGTAAATAAAATGCATAGATCATATTGAAAACAAAAGCTTTTTATATTATTTTTAAATTAAAACTTTATTTCGAAAAAATGCTTACAGACATATTATTCAAAGTATTTTCCTTCGCTAGCGACAACTTTCTCCAATCTTTCTGGCAATTTTCGGATCCCGACTCGAAAAAAGGAGTCCTCTTTTGACGCTATCCATGAAGCAATCCATTTTTCCAATTCTTCAAAGGATTGAAAATGTTGCTCTGCCAGGCCGTGTGCCATCGAACGGAATAGGTGGAAGTCAGAAGGGGTGACATCTGGGGAACACAACGGGTGGGGAAAGACTTCCCATTTCAGCGTTTCCAGGTACTTTTTGACCACTTTTGCGACGTGAGGCCGAGCATTGCCGTGTTGGAGGATGACTTTGTCATGTCGCTCTTGATATTCTTTTAGCGCGCGACTAAAGCGCATCAGTTGCGTTCGGTAGCGATCTCCTGTGATGGTTTCACCCAGGTTTAAGAGGTCGTAGTAAATCTTTAAAGGTTTTTTCTGTTCCACCACCATATTTTTGATTTCGACATCGAAATCACCATTTTTAAAACGTGGAGACCACTCCCGACACGTTCTTTCACTCAGAGCAGCATCACCGTAAGTTTCTGAGAGCATTCGATGCACTTCATTTATGTTCTGGATGGTGTATCCTGGCAATGTGACAGTGAAGTTCATGGCCTCTAGTGGTTCTGTTGGCTATTGCAGAATATTTTTTTCTTTCTAATCCGACAGAAGCTGGCTCACCTTAAACAAGGTATTTTATATATCTCATCCGTGCGAATATAGGGTATTAGGAAGTGCTGTTATGGTCCTCAAAGTGTTGATATGATGGATGTGTCTCTTCCTCATTTGGATCTCTCTTCGTCTACAAAAGGTGGTGATTTGATAACAAGAACGCCATTCCTCCTCACCTCGTAGCATAGATGCTTCGCTGTGCAAGTGAAGTGCTATAAGGCTTCCTATCACAGGTCTTGAGGGAGTTGTTTTGGCAGGCTTGTAACATAGTTTGCGACCGGCCGGTTAATTGCCTTGTAGGCTGATAGCAAACTTTTCTTTAGCATAGTTTTAATATTAGCGAACTTTTTTTTCCGGTTGCTGCCGGCTAACGCTTTGAGTGAAGGAGCGCAGGCTGTCGCACGGCATTACCAGAAATTTTTAGGTGACGGCATCGACTTACACATCGCGTTCGTGCCTGTACAACTTCGTCCAACAGGTGAAGAGGGTAGCCGGTGATATTGTTGTTGTAATCTTAAATGTTTTGCAGTGAAGAAGTGGAAATAGTCGTCGAGAGAACAGTTCACTTTCGAAAATAAGCCATCAGTATCCCGGCCGGATACCAATATCGGGCAATCACCGGCATATCAGATAAACATCTTTCGGTGGAGGAGAGAGTTTCAAAATATAAAACGTTGAACAGCAGTGCGGAGAGAATAGCGCCAAGAAGAACATCTTGTTTTAACTATCTTAGTATCGATATTTGATTTCGAAATTCCTCAGTCAAGCGGCAATGAGGATTCCTCAATGTCGGATTGTAAAAAATGCTGCCAGTTATCGTATTGATATTCCAAGAGCTGAAAGAATCAGTCAGATAATGCCAAACAAATTTTCGTGCTGATTTCTTTTGTTTGGTGCCTATAAATGTCAAGAAATGCCCCTGAAAAGTCAATTTGTGGACTCCGCACTTCACAATATTTTGACGAGGATTAAGAAAGTCCCTCCACAGATACACTTTAGGCGTTTTCTGTCAATTGGATAAACTTTTAATCATGTTTGTAAGAAATTATTCTTGGGGTGAACTGAGAAAACTAATATGCTTAGGAATCAGTGAAATTATCCTTGAAACAAGAGGTACATCCGTAAATAAGTATAGCGAAAAAGGCAGGCTCTAATTTTGTTTGAGAGGTCTTAGACGCTATGGGCTATAACTCAAATATTAGCAAGTAGTACGAGCGTTGGTGCAACGAGTATTCCCACTCTGCTTATTGCTTGATAATTTTGAGATTTTTCTCGGAAGTTTTTTTCGAAATTTATATTTTATTTTTGGGCAAAGTGTTAGAGTTATTCTTCTTATTATAGTTTCGAAAAAAAATTTGACAAGCAAAACTGAATATTGATAAGTTTAAAACAAATATTATATTAGTTAAGCAAGCTGACCGTATTACTCGGCACGCGTCTATATAAAGAACTATTGTAGGCATTGTTAACGGGTTGCTCCAAAAGCTACGTGGGACGAGTTGTAGATATGGTGGCACACGCTGAAGATATCGCTTTCTTAGCTACTAGAAACCCTATCTTTGCCAAAAGATTCAAGCAGCTTGCCTAAAAACAGCAGATCAATATTTCTATTGATACTGAATTGTAATAGAAAAAAGTAGGAAACCTATGACCACACTCTACACGACGATCGGTAAGAGATGGGACCTAAGACCTAAGACAATATTAGCAACAAAAAGCGGTAATTATAGCCACATTATCTTAAGGAGTACTAGTCTGGTAGCCAGCGCTGGAAAATGAAGAACAAACTGAAACGAATTCTCTAGGCGCCTTCCACCCACGTTACAGAGTGCTTAAAAGCTATCAAAAAATATTTTTTCGGGATCTATCTGGTGGTGAAATTTTTTAGAAACAATATTTTCCTCAAAGAAAAATTTTTTGTTAAGCAGACTCTGCCTCAATCAACTCACACCTAAGGCAAACTTTAATTTTGTTACCAAAAATAATCTCGACCGACAACAATCTGTCTGCACTGCTCAAAAAGAAGATAAGAAATATTTCTGATTATATTTAATATTATTTAAAGTTATACAAGTATACGCATACAAATGACATACTAACAAATAAACGCTTATGACCTTTAATAAGAATATGTATGTGCGTATGCCAGCGCGTGACAGACTACGTCAAATATTTCATGGTGCCACGAGCTTGCTTCACAGACATGCAACAGACTATTTGTTATTACTTTTTCATGTTTGTCGCTGCCTTACGAACACGCCCCATTGACATATACTCGCAGCTGTGGAAAATTTTTATATTCGCTTCCACTCTACCCTCACTCTCACTTGACTAACTGCCGGCATACAATGCTGACAAAATCGATTTGGCAATATTTTGTCGAAAACTTTCACCGCTTAAGGATAAAAGTTTTATTGGCATACTTTTTGGCGCATTGCCTGTTAAGTGAATTTCAATAAATCACGCACATCGATTTAGTCAAACGACCAGTCGGCTAACAACAAACAGAAGCGAAAAAAGCTTGAACGAAACAAAATAAGAAAACATTTTCCCAAACAAGAAGAAAGGAAGGAAGGAAAGGATTTATAACGAAAACTACTCGAAATTCCTTTGGCAGGTTGAAAACCATGCAAATGCTAATGATTTGTAAATTCTTATGATATATTGTGCCCGCACTTAGCGTAAACGTTGCATGTATTTAGGCGTACTAAAAGCGTGTATTGCATGTTATGCGGTTATTTTCGTGCCACTACTATTAGCTCGCCGTATTGAAAATTATGCCACTGCTCAAAGTTTTTAAGCGAACATGTCACAAATGCAATTGTAACTGTGCGGCAGCAATTAGAAGTTGACACGCGCTTTTATGCCTAAATGTAGGTTGAAAAACCTCGTTCTTTAAAGGTATGCTACAAATAACTCTCGTTTCAAAAACGGAGTAAATTACATTATTCATTGAGAATGGTAGTTTTATTTTCCAATTAAAAGCACACAGTTTTGGATGCGAAATCAAAATTTTCTTTGCTTTTATGTTTTGGTATTGTTTTAAGTTTGTGTAAAGTGTACTTAAATGCCTTGTCTTAGCTTGAACCCACTCCAAACTCAAAACCCGAATACTAGGAGCACAAAACTCAAAACTTAAAAAATAAAACAAACAACAAAACTCAAAATTCCAAATTCAAAATTCAAAATACAAAATTCAAAATTCAAAATTCAAAATTCAAAATTCAAAATTCAAAATTCAAAATTCAAAATTCAAAATTCAAAATTCAAAATACAGAATTCAAAATTCAAAATTCTTAACTAAATTTTCGTAAGCACTAAATCGTATCATAAATAGCTCGATTATTTTTGAAAAAATCTTTTTGAATTTTACTCACATTAAATGATTAGCCACCAAACACGCCTCCATAATGTTGCAAATACGCATGTGTTGAATCGATTTGCGATTCAAATATCCACATTGATACGGGTATCTAGTATTTTTGCGATAAAAGTTTTTACACTAATATTTAATACTTTTAGCACACTATGCACGCTTACATTAACAGTTCGATATTTTTCTTTAGATAATTATTTTTGGTCCTTGCACTTTTTTGGACCTTCCACAACCAATTAAGGATTTTAACAAACTCCACGATTCCTTAATTCACACAAATTCCGTTTAGGTTTCTATAATCAGCAGCATTCAAAAATCTATTTTTATGTCTTTTTATGTTTTTCTCCAAATATTTTTATGCCCCAATATTTTTCGCGCTCACACTCCGCAATTTAGTCTTTTATACGCACTTCAGATTTTTAACATCGTCATATCAATCAATATCGGAGTTTTCACTTTCAATTGTGTTTTTGTGTTTATTGGCACTTAAATGAATGCGCGTACTTGAGCGGGTGCATACAATTATACTATGTTGTTTGTGCAACCGCCATAATAGTAAAATATACCGATAAATTCTTATCAAAGCAGCAGAGCGTCTAAAAAATATTGGCGATTCAATTTACGGCTGCCACAAAATGTAATGCTTTTCTTGTATGGGAAATTCAGTTGCAGAAACGATAATTTGGCATTTTATTGGCTTCCATCGTTCACCTTTGTCTTCTTGATGTTATTAGTTGCTTTTTGTATTCCAGACATAATTTTTATGAGTTATTTTTATGTGCGCGCAGAAATTTATGGATTCTCATTCTTGCGATTGGTATATGTGCGGTCGCGCATATGGTTTCCTTAACTGTATACAAAACACTCGTTGTGTATTGTGGTATTAGAATGGCACGGTTTTTATATACCGTATATTTCAGTAAGCTGTTCGCGGTAATTTGTTGGTCTGGTCTAGGGTAGCTGAAAAAAGAAAGTTTATTTATAAATAAATTTTATCTAAGTTATAAGCAAATGCCATTTAATATTTTTGTTGATGAGACTATTTCAAAATAGCAATAATGAAATAAATTCTTTTTACTGGATACAATTTTCCACCCCAAATACCATGTAAAAATATTCCCACACTTCGGCTCGGTTCGGTTCAAAAAAAATTATATTTAAAAATTTATGTTATTTTTTTTTAAATCGAAGAACCAAAATTTGGTGTCACCTTTTTAAATGCTTTTACTGAAAAAAAAATTTCAAAATTATATTTTTATTATTTTGGGGAAACGTTGTTCTTACGCTGCAAATTTTTATGATATTTAGCAGTAATTAATACAAAAAATCTAAGTAGAAAAAATTTGCAAAATGCGTTAGGAAATCAGTTTCCTTCAGATGGCTTTACTGATCTGTATCTCGCGATTTTGGGAATAGCTGATCACTTAACTTTACGTTCTACAATTTTTCTTCGGTTTTGGTTTCATCGTTTTGGTTCCGTTAACATTCATGTAAGAAATGCTCCACGTTGTGGAAGGCCAGTTGTCGAAAAATTCTATAAAATAATAAAAATATTCGAGACGAACCACCATACCAGCACTGTTTTGATTGCTAAAGAGAAAAGCGTCACACACATGTGTTTTGGACGGATTTAAGATCTACAATCTCAAATCCGACGAATGCGTTATAGTGGTTCGATATCATCGAATCATCAATCATTTAATATATCAGTGAAATGTATCTTAATAGCTTATTTACAACTGGATCGCTATGAACTATTTTTATATATTTAAGTTTTATTAAAAATGCATTTACTTTCTTTTAAAAAATCCGCAATTACTTTTTGGGCAACCCAATACCTCTTCCGTTGCTGATATTAAATATTAGGTGTTCAACTTTGCTACCGCCGTTTTTTTTTTCCAAAATTAAAAGCTTTATTGGGAAAAAGTCCTTACAGATATATTATTCAAAGTATTGTCCTTCGCTAGCGACAACTTTCTCCCATCTTTCCGGCAATTTTCGGATCCCGGCTCGAAAAAAGGAGTCCTCTTTTGACGCTATCCATGAAGCAATCCTTTTTTCCAATTCTTCGAAGGATTGAAAATGTTGATCTGCCAGGCCGTGTGCCATCGAACGGAATAGGTGGAAGTCAGAAAAGGGCGTAAATAATACGAAAACAAGAACAACTGTCACCTATCGGAAAACGGCGGAAGCAAAGTGGTACACCTGATATTTTGGACCAAATTTCAATGTACCGTTCAGCATACGAAAAACTATAAAAAGCGTAATTATTAAAAATAATTTAACAAACTTCTTTGTTAAAAAAATATAAAAACAAGCTTTAAAATTCAGTTTCAAACACCCACATTTATATAACCAAAATTAATGTGAATAAATTATTTGCCACAATGCATTAATATCCTTAAATAACGTAATTTGCCCAATTAAATTAATTTAATTTAATTTTATTGTGTATATTTGCTTGGAAAATAAGTATGTATGAAAACAGCCAAAAAAACAAAAAAAAGACATGACACAACGGATAAAGAACATATGCCTTTTTATGCCACAAGAGGTGATCGAAATTACACAACAAAGAAACAAACAAAAATGAAAGAAATATAGAATGTTTACACATTTTTTATGAAACTAAATTTTTCAAATTTAATTAAACGTTTATATTATTTGCAGTGTCAACAACATACATTTAAGCACATCGTATTTGTGAAGCTTTAAATAATGCACAAAGGCATTTACTACTTTTTAGTGCTTTATCGCTAATAACAGACAATTAATTAACGCAGCTCAGCTCAGCTAATATCGAGCGTGGCAAAAAACAAAATGCAAATATGGCAAAAATAAACAGTGTCACATTAATTTATTGTTTACAAGAAAGAGAAAAAAAAATACAAATAAATAAAGTGCTAATACAAATATTTGTAAATATATTAATTTATGTACGTGTGTGTGCTTTAAAATTGTTTGTAATTCATATTAATTGTTATCAGTAAATTAAATATGCAATGCACTCGTCACTTGTGTTCATGTTTAATCACAAATGTTAATGGGTTGAGAGCGGGAAAAAAATTATTTATTTACAACACATTGAAAACACTTACAACATAAATTTTTTTTTTATAATTTTACATATATTCAAGTGTGTTTGTATTGTTTTTATTATATTATAATTTAAATTATGCAGCTGAAATCCTTGCATAAATCTAATGTATTATAGAAAATATTTTCACTGGCTATAAATGTGTTTGCAGCTGTGTGTGTTTATATTGCATTAATAATTAAACTTTTTCTATGTTTTTAATGCGCAGTTGCCACATAACAATCATGCCACACAACATCCGTTATTATTTTTTAATGATATTAATTGCAAAAACCCAGCGAATTATAAATATTAGTTGCATATACTTTTACATTTATATATATGTATATATACAATACATTCATATGGCATATATATATTGTAGTTGGCTTGGCAAATGCGTCCATTATTAAATCAGTTTTTTCAACAGATTTTTAACTTAAAATAAATTATGCAATTAATGGCTGATAAAATTAATTAGTAGCATTTCAAATGCAACATGTTACATAAATTAGAAAGAAATTATGTAAATATATATATAAAGATAAAAATAATTCGCTTTTATTAAATCTAAGGTTTGCCCCTTATAAAACTAGACAGCTCACTTGTTAAATTGGCATACACTGTGTCCTAAAAATAACCGAATTTTATATTTAAATCATACAACATACAGCGCCATCTATTGAAAATTTGCAACATTAAAAAGATACATTCATCCTCATTCAAACGCACCTAACATCATGTAAGTCGGATGACAGATGTAAAAATGACAGCCATTTCAATAAAACCAAAAGTGTGCTAATCGTTCAAAAATAAAATACAACAAAGAGTAAATATAAAATTTTGTGTCAAACTTGAAAAACAAAAATAATGAAAAAAGTTTATTGTGATGATTGTATGAGTCGTACGCAAGTTTATATGTGGTTTACACGATTTAAAAATGGTCGTGAGGATTTAAATGACGACCCTAGAGCAGGACGTCCAGAAACTAGTAATCGTGGAATCGAGGAATTGAATAAGAGTAAAAACACTATTTGGAGAATTTTAACTGAAGATTTGGGGAAAAGAAAGTTCTTTGCGCGATTTGTTCCACATGAATTAAATGACGACCAACAAATCGTTCGAGTTTTTAATGAAAAAAGGGATTTCTCTCATCGACCATCCTCCGTATTCGCCTGAGCTATCACCATGTGAATATTTTTTTATATCCAAAACTGAAAACCAAGATGAAGGGAGCATTTTATGATGATATCCCAGCCATTCAAACAGCCGTAACCGAGGTACTGAAGAACATTTCTATAAATGACATAAAACAATCTATGCATGCGCTGGTTGATGAGTAAAATGGAACATATTTTGAATAAATAATAACTTTCAAAGATAATATATTTGTATATCCAAATATTATTGTATATTCAAAAAGTGTGGTTATTTTTGGGACACACCGTGTATTGTTGTAAGAGTCAAGCGCTCCGAGCGTATCGTCTTTTAACTAGACACCAAAATAATAATTAATCGAACTTCAAAACATTTTTTGCCAAATACCGAAAATCAAACTCTAGGATGCTTTTATTGTTGAATTTTTTACCCAAAATATCATTTACGAACAAACCGGTTGTATGCGGGCTATATGCTATAATGATACGATCTCACTGGTTCCGATAAAACCAATTTAAAAATGCGACGCGCTGCTGAGAAGTTCGCGACTTGAGGTAGTTAGCGATAGCACATCTTATCGTTACTAATGATACTAATTGCGGGACTGATTATTAGTATAAAAACAAAACTTTTTTTTTTTAAATTGACTAACCTCTCGTTTCTGAACAAACAACAACACTATATCAATAGAAACAACAAATTATCGCCATTTGGTCGTTGCGTTCTTAAACGAAAGAAAGCAAACAATTTTTAAAGAGATGCCATTGGTTCTGGCTCTCCATATATTGTGGTAAAAAAATAAGCTCGGGTTTTTCAAAACGGCTACTTTTTTCTGGGCTAGTGTGGGAATATTATGAAGTGATTACTTGTCAAAGAATACCACAATAAACGGCAGTATTACGATAATTTATTGAGTCGGACGCGTGAAGTTGTTGTACAGAAGAGGTGTGGTCAATTAACGCGCGGAGTGTTCTTTTTTCAAGACAACGCACTGAAGGAAATTGACCATTTACAAAAGCTGAGGGTTTGGGTTCAAACAGATGGACAGATAAGGATTATTCATTTTAGCTAGTACATTGGGGAGCCAACGCTCAAACTAATCGGTATGCCTAACAACATGAGCTGCGAAACGAAACGCTATAGAAATGGACCTAGCTAAGTTAAAATAATTTTAATGCAAATTGAGGCCAATGCTTGACAAAAATTATGTCCTGGTTCGATCAACATCCAACTAGGTAAGTTAATTTTCAAATTGCGGTCGTCTCCGGCAGCACTCCGGATGAAAACTGCAAATAAAACCTCCTCATAAATAATCATCAGCTCAGTATAAACTGTAGGTCCCTCCATTTGTTGGAAGACGCACACCAAAATTTGGAGGAAGGGCTTGGCCAAAAATCCCTTCAGCGGTGTGAATTTAAGTTTTTAAGCAAGAGACGTAAATTGATAAATTTTTCATAACTCGGGGAGATAGATTTTTAGTTGGAGGAGATCACAATGCAAAGTAGACTCATAAATTCCAACTAAAAAGCTTGAAAGGTCAGCAGTTATACTTATATATAATACCATCATGAATACCAAAATCCAATTCTAAATTTCCTCCCAACAACTACGAACTTACTGACCTAAGAAAACTACCCAAAATTTAAAAATTGTGCAATAATCTGACTAGATTTATCTTTAATAATAATGAAACTGAGTAAACAGCCAATTACAACTCAGTATCCTT